TTGTAAAATACCAGCTCATCTAGAAAAACCGGACCATAGCAAACACTATTTTATGACGATGACGTAAAATACATCTCTATCTTAGCGCACCATATGGGAAAAACCTCGAAGCACCGAACTTCAATCCTGTTATTCCTTCAACATCGTCCTTTCCTCAGCACCTGTAGTAAATTTGGAGGTGCACCGCACCTAGGTAAACAGTTTACGACGTCAAAGATCCAACATTAAACAAGACACTAGAGGTAAAGTTAGCTTAGAGTGAGGGAATAAACCCTGCCGAGTCCATAATTCTGACATCTTCCTGTTTGTCATTTAAGAACAAGATGCGCGGTAGTCCCCGGTGGGGCCATAAAATTGAACGAAGAATCGTGAGACAGCACCAACACGGATGTGATCAGTGGTAGTCACGAATGACGTAAGCGTGTTGGGCAGTTTTATGTTGACGCCAAACTGTACGGCTACGGCAGAGATGAATGGAATACATTGCCTAACCTACTTCTTCATCTTGTTTTTGCGTTTCAAAATTTTCACTGGTCACTCTCTCAAATTCGATAAAAGTAAAATGGAAAGAAACATTCGTTGTGACATGCCGAACTAACCGCCTACTTAAATGTTTATATATAAGGTCTGTTAGATAACAAAAATACCGTCGGATATACGTATATTGATACGAACAGTTTTACTTAACCAGGTTAGCTCCATGTTATCTTTATGATGTGGTGGGGATTTACTGGTTGATTCAACTCTGTATAAGTTCACAGGCATCTAAATTCAGGGATGACTCGAACCTCCTATCCTTCTACACCAACTAAATCCAATAAACGCAGAGCACCATTACATATTTATACTTCCACGCAATACTACTATAATACAGCTAACTAACCAAGCGTCCGTAAAAGCCATGGTGAAGTACGCCAGCCAAACAACAGGGGAATTATTGGTTACTTTCCGTGTACTGGACCTCATGATAAATGGGAATGGTTGTTGGTTTGTTCGCTATTTTGATCTGATTGCAAATTTGATTGCACTTATGGGACTGTTCGAATGATGCTGTTCAGAGTGAGGAGTAAGACAAAAGATGTAGAAACGACAGTGGATATCATAATTTATGAGGCCATTTTTATACTGAAGTACATTTTAGTATTCTTGACCTTGCTTCTACGCGAATATTAGAAACGTGAACTTAAACCAAGCTCGGTCGCCCTCAGGTACGCTCCATTACTTTCAGGAGGAAAACCAAATTGCACACATTTTGAATTTATCCACTTAAGGTCAACATCAGAATACAAATAGCTAAACAAAGATGAAAAATATGAATAGAAAGCAATTGCTAGCGTCCTACAATACAAAGATGTAACACTTACTACCAGAAAACGGTAAAAACGGCCAAACGGATCATTAGCCGTCAAAAAGTTCACAGGACAGATGACCCTGAAATCAAACATTCTCATCCAAGGTGTGATTGTGTGTCGTTTATTTCGGTGAAAGCAGTGCTGCAGATGATGTCAATGTTTAGACAGCATGAGAACAAGCAGAGAGCAGACAAGACTAAGCAAGACACTAGATAGAAAACGAAGGAATTGCATGTGGAATTTAACCTCTGTAATTGTTCATTCACAATAGTCCAGAAATGAAATACACAATACGTTGGTTATGTCGACACTGCTGAAAAACACGTGATGTAGCAAAACTTTACGCGCTCGATAACATCTCTATGGGTGGGTACAGTGGCGTGATAGAAGAGTGTGATGTATCAGGTGTCACCAGGTCTTTCCGAAATCTTTTGTAGCACTAGAGACAATCGATATTGCAACTGTCTCTCTGACGCTGGAAATGTTAACTTGAAGAGTTCATTGTGAAATAATCACCAGTTTAGAAAAACCTCAATGAACCAAGACAAAAGGCATAGCTTTTCGTTAAAAGTTTTCCGGCTGTGATGACCTGATGCAGATAGTTTACCACGCATTTTGACCTGATATTTAAATTGTTATCTGAACTTAATCAACTCAAGTGTAAAATCAAGTTGAAAAACCCTTCACCTAAAGTCTGAAGGCCTATAGTTCTTTCAATGCACAGAAATATCACGCAAAAAGGGGACGCGTACGTGGTTGGTTTGGCGTTTTCGTCCAGCTCACTCTAGTCAAGCAGGATGTAATCCAACCACAGAGCTTTTGAACCTGTTGAATAGGCTGCCTGTTAAACTATCTTCATATATCTTATGGTGAGAAAGCGGCAAAACCAGTGTCAATGACTTGAAATTCTACCGTAGAATAATGCCCTCTTTGCAGTGGGAGAGGAAACGATTATTAAGATCTTCATTATATTTTACACACCACCGCTGCTCCTCCCCTTTATATGTCATTACCAAGTGACTATATGTCATGTCAAGTGACCAAGGAGTATAGTAGTAAAGTGATCTGTTGAGAAAGTGCTCTAGGAATTTATATACAAAAGTTAACAATTCCATTGAAAAAATTGCTCATTCCTCCAGATCCATCAGGGTAAGCCAGGATGGCAAGCCAGGATCCCCTCCATCGGGCTTCATTTGTCGGAAAACTTAAGGTTTCTTTGCAAAGTGTGAGGTTAGGCGACCGCCTGAAATAGGCTGCCTGTAAACTATCTTCATATATCTTATGGTGAGAAAGCGGCAAAACGCCAGAACCAGTGTCAATGACTTGAAATTCTACCGTAGAATAATGCCCTCTTTGCAGTGGGAGAGGAAACGATTATTAAGATCTTCATTATATTTTACACACCACCGCTGCTCCTCCCCTTTATATGTCATTACCAAGTGACTATATGTCATGTCAAGTGACCAAGGAGTATAGTAATAAAGTGATCTGTTGAGAAAGTGCTCTAGGAATTTATATACAAAAGTTAACAATTCCATTGAAAAAATTGCTCATTCCTCCAGATCCATCAGGGTAAGCCAGGATGGCAAGCCAGGATCCCCTCCATCGGGCTTCATTTGTCGGAAAACTTAAGGTTTCTTTGCAAAGTGTGAGGTTAGGCGACCGCCTGAAATTGTGTCTTGAGAAGTTCATGGCCTATGCCCCATTAGAAAAGGTTTCTTGTTAACAGTCGAATAGAAAAACTGTGGTTTTGACTATTTTATATTTAGCTGTTAATGTTTACACTGTTTTGCTACTAAAAGTTCTGAGCTTCTGCCCAGTGCTTCGTTTTAGGACGAAATACAGTGAGTTTGTTTCCAGCTTGTGTCGGTTGAACGGTAAGCACATTACATCGCAGTGAATCACTTTCACTCCAGAATTAGCCATCCATCCATCAGAAAGTTGTCTGCAGTGGACACAAGAATCACTTCATTTTCTCAGCACCAAATGACAGGTCAAAGTCAAAATGGGACATGTGGAACAACACGTGCTTCGAACTCGTGTAACACGTGGCCCAATACAACCACTTGCTAGCGATCTGCACTGAAGTGACATTGTAATTGATCCATTAATGTGCAGTTCAGCGGTTCGCTTCGTGGGAAGCGGACCCGTGAAGTGCCAAACACAGTATAATGGCAGACGAAATGCTACTTTTGATTAAATGAATTATTTACGAATTAGACTGAGTGAAGCAGAACCTAGCTAGAGGGTTTCTGTTAATTGTCAGATGAATCACACCTTTGAACACCCTAACAGACAATACCGCTGCAAAAAGTAAGCTGATGGGATTCAGTGAGCGCAAGGTGATTTTGCTTCCCTCTTCAATTAATCAGTAATGTGGGCGGCCCAGCAACACCTTCCTCTGTATCTAGATGTTAAAGCTTGTGGTCCTCTTTTGACAACAGCCGCAGGATTCAGTGGCATATTATTTTGATGCGTTTCCTTTTTGATGAATGCTTTGAAATCGGGATGTCCGACCACACAGTGACACGAAACGAGAAATCGACTGATTCCCAAGCAAACACGTAAGAGCCAATTAACTAGCCTAGGCGAACAGTGCGCATGAGAAGCAGAATTTTATTTTCACTTGCTTACTTCAGCTTTACGTCAAAGTAGAATAACGCGCACGGTATCATCCTAACGCGATAGTTCATTTAATATTTGCCGGTGTTTGGATGCTTTGTAATGCGAGATAAAGATTATTTCAGTCTGAAGGAATAGAACTGACTATCGAAGAAATAATGAGCAAAAGGGATATAGTTAAAATAACTAAAAATTAGGAAATATGTTTGCCGAACGATCAACCAAATTGCTCACAGCTACTGAAAGATACACAAGCATTTGTACCAGAACTACATTGTAACTTAATAGAGGCTCAAGTGTTTCTGCGCTTCATAAATGCGAAATACTAAGCTCCTTGGACAAAGTATCCAGTTTACACCAAGACCCATTCCCAAGCACTGAATAATGCCAAACTCATTGCATCATACCGTAGTATGAACTTCATTCTTGACTTCGGGATCACTTCAAAGATACAGGATATAAGATATTCTTCCAAATGAAGAAAATTAACAGCTTGGGGGCGTTTACTTCGTACGGCAATAAGAAGAGCTCAGTAGAGATTCAGGGTACACGCTTTTCACAACTTCAATAAATTAAAACATACCATGGTGGCCACTGAATTGTGCTAGTCACTGAAGTTTATTAATCCTGAAGACGGTGTGAAACGTTGCAAAACTTCCTTTAATAAAACCTGGTTCAGCCTGCAATATTTTATTTGAAGACAGGTATATTGTGCTTTACGCTCCCCGAAGTAAAAGTGTCACAGTTTCTGCACATGGGGGTTTTGAGGGAGGTGTATTGTCCAGTTCCACATCACTCGTTTTGAACAATTAGCGCAATTATTCATGTGAATCCATACCAAACGGGGGGAAGCACTGGACTCGAGTTTCGCTCTTGTTAGAGCTCATTAGCAGTGCATATCCAATGACCCTGCCAGGGTTTGAACTCCGGACACCTGATATGCGAGGCGAACGTGTCACCACTACTCCACCAGCGCACGGTGGATGCTTTTGAATTCTCGCGGGTGGACGTGTTCGCACTTGAGCGATGGAATTAAAGTTGTCCAACCAGTTTCAAGCGTCTGTGGCGCTACCTGACTGGGAAGTCCTGACAAGGAAGCCAATCGATCGTCACAACCAGGACCTTTACTGGGTCGTCGTATCGATGATGTGTCGGGCATACTAATCACATCGCTCAGGTGCGAACACGTTCACCCGTTCAGAAGTAAGAATTCAGATTCGTCCAATGTTTGCTGGTGGAATAGTGGTAACACGTTCACCTCGCATATCAGGTGTCCGGAGTTCAAACCCTTGCACGGCCATTGGATGATGAGATCCAACAAGAGCGAAACTCGAGTCCAGTGCTTCCTCTCCTTTGGTATGGATTCATATGAATAATTACGCCAGGACAGGAGACGACTGTTCAAAACGAGAGTGATGTGAAACTGAATATTACAGTTTCCCTATGCAATGTGAAAGGCATTAAACCATGCAGTGAAATGCCTAGAGACACTGAACTGCGAAATCCACGCGAATGTATTAGGAATGGAAAGACACCGCGGTTTGTAAGCTGCTATAAACGCAACACTTAGCACGCGGTAGTTCACATAATAGTGCGAGAAATGAACACTCTTCCGAATTTTATCCGTTAGTGGAACTTCGGGTTTGAATGACCTGGGTTGTTATGCTGCGCTTCAGGTCAACGCACTAATACTACTGTTGGCCTAAAATATTTCAAGAAGCCTGCATGCGCTCGTACACTTTTGTCTTCCGAATGTCAACCTGAGGTAAGACAATCATAATTGGTGATCATCAACTAAAAACGGGCCAAATTAAATGTAGCCATCTTGGCGTCATTCAGGCTAGAAATTTCAGCGTTAACGCAAATCGACATGATTTATATCATACTGTGGCATTTGCTAACTGAAGGTTCATGTTTAAATTTATGTGAAGACATTAAAACCTGCCACATCAATTTGGAACAAGGTAGCGTAAACATGAACGTCCCTGTTTACACAGCCTGGTAGACGGTCATTGTCTATAACACACCGTGACTAAAAAGTCGTTTTTATTCAACGGCTCGTTACCAGCTTTATTGATCCTTGCTTTCCAATATAAATCAATTCAAGGAAGCGACTCTATCACAATGTGAGAAATCGTCCATGTGTGATAATCGCAATGCATGTAGATATTCTATGGGAATGTTTCTGACTGAGAAATTCAGAGTGAGAAATTCCTCATGATGGGATCCAGTTCATTCACTAGAGCTATGTAGATGTATTACCGAAACACATGTACATATTACAGTAAAATCTTGATTTTGAATATATAGCATTCAGTGTATTACACTTGTCGTATCACACGTCCATTGTGCTACGGCCATGTGACAAACAGGGTATTACAGACGATGCCTACCAATCAGGTTGTATTTAAACAGGAGTGTTCATGTTTACGCTACCTTGTTCCAAATTGATGTGGCGGGTTTAAATGTCTTCACGTAAATTGAGACATCGTATGTAGTAATCCCTTTAGTTAACAAACGCCGAAATACCGTACAGATCACATCGATTTGCGTTACCGCTGAAATTTCTAGTCTGAATGACGCTAAGATGGCTACATGAATTTTGGCCTATTTTTATTTAACGATCATCAATTATGACTGTCTTAAATTAGAAATGAATGACTGGAGGTGTTCCTTTTACTACATTGTAGAAGTTATTTCCCGAAGATAAAAGTGTACGAGCGGGTGCGGGCCTCAATATTTTTACCGCCTTTTGAGACAGGCTGCTACTGAATAAATCACTGGCGTGAACTTGTGCACAAAGCCTACCTTTAAAGGGCGAATGATTAGCCCATGAGATAGAAGGGTTTCTTTTGAGGTGCACTCATCTAGTTTGTGAAGAGTTCATTGTGGGACCCAAATTTCAGCATGCTACTTTCCTTCATACTATTTGATTCCGATGGTCGCACTTCAAACTGCTTAATGTACTTTTCGTCAGTCGTAGGCATAAACTTGAGTAAGTCGCGCTCCCTATCCGCCTGCCTCGTTTTGGGTTTTCAGACAAGTTTATACTTGAACGCTGATGTGGCAAACTGGCATTCGCATTCCAACAACACGGGTCTGCTGACTTAATTTGGAACTAGACCCCCAGGATATACATATATATGCATATGTACACACACGCCATTATTATTTTCGGTTTTCCTTTATACCATGGTTCGTTCTACGCTCTTATTTTGGATATCCAGAAAGTTCTTTTTTGGACTGCTGCTAATAGCGCTGGTCCTGAGAAAGAGCCAAGGCCTGTCCTGCACCGTCCCTTAACTGAATTTATATTGTTCCTTGTTTTCAGATCCCCCGATTCTGTTCGAACGGTTTCTTACAGTAGTTCATCCCGTAGTCATGGGAATGAGCCATTATAAGCTCAAACTTTGGAACGTCTTATGGCCGGGTATTTCATATATAAAACTCCTAAGGGCTTCATAAAATCTTCTGACCGTGGATCAGCCTGTTTGTATCACATTGGTGACTAATTTAATATTCTGTTTACTTTCTGGTGGCGTACGTGACACTGATTAAACAAATTTGTGGTCACTAGCCGGTCGCATTAATTAATCACAACTGTCTATCACCTGTTGTTGATTAAATCTGACTGGTAATTATTCGACCACAAGTTTTCCAGAGGGGTCAAGCCGATGACGAGGCTGCTTCACCGCACTTATGTGCATCAATATGCCTGTTATTAAAAAAAAATCTACATATTATTCACGTGCAATTCGTCATCTTAGAAGTTGGTTTTAGGGCTTTTCACAGACATAATCGACCGCATATAAGCTTACTGTTCAACTATTCCGTCCTCTATTCAATTTCCTGTTGTTCATACTGTTGTTTATATTTGGCTTATCCCCGTGCTCAGGTGTAAAAGAAGAAATGCTACTAATATTCTCTGAATAGCTCTGCAATTATTATCTGCAGTCGCTTCCCATCGGCCTTCTTTGTTCACAGCTTGGGGCAGTAAACGCGTCTCCATCGTGACCAGTTCATTTTCGAGCCTTCTGACAACAATCAAGTCACTATCAATTCACAATAACATGTCAGCATCCAAGCACCTGTGTGCCATTCCTAAAATATCCACAAAACGTAATAAGATAAACAGAAGATGTTCTCACTGCTTTCCATCAGATGGCCTAGCTTATTATGAAAAGCGAAACGGTACACATTTTTCTCTAGGTTTTAATAGCATCTCATACACCGAAAGGTTTCACTCTGCGATCTGTGGTACCCCTACTCAGATGCGCACTGAAAAGACACAGTAGCATCCTGCTTTCAGGTGATATGGCAGGAAGTTTTTTTGAGAATGGATGCGTTTGACCTACTAGTTATTAACTGCGAAATTTTCGGAATGATTGGGGTTACAAAGTAATCGACATAAAGGGTAGATAGACCATCAATCTCGTAAAATCATCCTTGTAAGAAGGAAGAATTCTGCTAGACAGCCCTGCTATCTCCCAAGTGAACTTCTCGGTAATTCGACAATTAATTGTGTGGTTTACAGAAAACATCCTGGCACCAGACGTGTGCATCTGGGGCTGAGTGCGTTCTTGCAGCTCTTCAAAATGTATGCGAACACAGCCAAAGCCGATGGTAGAATTGACGGGATAGTTCAGAGATTCTGTGAAGAAACTGGTGAGCAGCATGTTAATATTCTTCTGGCCAGGAGAATGCTTTATCCATGTCAATGAACTTTTTGACAATGTTTTACAGGTTTTCGAGAAGCACGAACACCATGATCTCTAAAGCAACCTAAAAGGACGGAGGAAATACATTTTTTACATGTCTCAAACTTACTGAAACTTCAATGAAGCCATTTTGAATCTATGTGGCTCACCGATGACTCTGACTGATCTCAAAACATCCTTAGAAAAGACATCAACAAGTAATATAGTCTCGCAAAAATGCATTCAATGCTGGACAAGATGGAACATTTCGAAGCGCATTTGAAATTGGTTAACACTGTTGGTCAGACCCACGAGTTTATTCCACTAAATGCTTCGATACTGTGTTTGTCTGTCTCCACCAAAGTTGGTCTGAATATCGCCGGTCAGAAACAGCCTCCTGGGCTAGGAGAGGCATATAAATTTGGCATCGCAACCGAGTGCTACCTCTGAATGGACAAAATTGTAGCTACGACTGCAGGCATCTGGTTGATCTGTTCAGTGGGATCATGTTCCAGTATGGCACTTAATCTAACAACAAGAACCAATTCTTTGTGCACATTTATCAAGGGGCATGTTCACTTGATGCTGGCTCATCTGAGACAAAAAGTGATTACTGGCAGGTCCAAGTTCGGTTTTCGCGCTAAAGATTGCAGGTTAGGAAATGAAGAGTGTAAGATTTTCATTGAAACATCTTCTTGTCAGCTGAGTTACGACGTTGAAAATAAAGTAAACCGTCATTGAGAAATCCTCAATTATTTACTCGGAACTACTATATAAGTTTTGAGTCGGAGCGCGCGATTTTAAAACAATATTTCCGAATTTAGTTGTCGAAAATTGTATTTTTACAAGGGAGCGGGATGGGAAGAATTTTGAAGACCGGAGCCCTGGGTCATTCCTGAAAAACCTTTCAGGCTCAGCCTTCCATTGTGTATTGTTTCGTTATACAAAATAGCAAGCAGGTGATAGGTTTACTTAGAAACTACGCGATGTCTAACCTACCACCAATTTTGGGAGCATACTGCTTTTTTTGGCAAGTTCATTCAAGTATGATGCGGGGAGATTATGTAATGTAGGTGAATAACTGAGCCACTTGAGTCTTCAGACACCCACCTCAACCTTCTGTTGGCTGTGCTTATCAATCACGACTAAATTTTTGTTTGCTACCGGCACATTCACCTCAAGAGCAGAGCCGGAAGTTCCATACCTGCCATACTGCTAGCCTGGCACAAAGACATGGACCGATATATTCAGCCTATAGGTTTGTCACTTTACGTTTTTTCTATCTTTGGTGCGCGCAACAATTTCATAAATGGTTACATTTAATGATGGATGAGAAGAATTCTATCCAATGTTACGGCAAAGCGTTTAGTAAATGCAGTTGAGCTGCCGTTGACTTGTTCGCTGAGCTGGGCAATTTGATTGCAAACGTTTCATCACCAATCGAGGGAAACAGGCCAAAGACTTACGCTACCTGAGCTACCAAAATTTTCCTCCATACAAACAAGCTGTGTATGTTTACCACCGTGCCACCTTCACTGATTAGTTAAAACGCCAACGGGAAAGTATGTAATCAAGACAAATATGCCGTCAGCTGTGACGAGCATAGGTATATTAACTAGCGAGGAGACAGCTGCTAAGCAACCTCACCAATTTGAATGACGTCATTCTTACCCATGCTCACCAAAAGTCTGAAAAACGCGAAAAAGTAACTTATGATACTAAATGGTGCTTATATAAATTAACAGGAGCAGCAGCAGCAGTTTCGGAAATAGCGCTGCCACCAAACCACTCAATGCATGTAAGATTTGGGACAAAAACAGGAAGGCCATCCCTCTTATTTGGTTTATCTCTACTATGGACTGATCAATGAAGGGACATTTTTTCTGATCCCAAGAGAAAGGGACAAAAACATCTTATCGATATCATCCCCATTACCCATAGCATGAGTCAGGATACGCAAACACCTGTTTACCTTTGGCAAAACAGGATTTAAATTTTTGCCGTTTGCAGGCCGAACCTGATGAGCTTGACGTTTAGATTTTCTGCGCAGAACAAGAGCCTCGTGGTTTGTGCTCTGATGTGCAAAGGCGGCAGTGGTTAACCTAGTTTTCTGGTAAGTGCTGAGTGCTCAATTACTCGAAGAAAGCTAGTTGTCTTGTTGGCTCATCCAGTTATTCAGATGATAACTCCCATCGAAGAAACATTATGAATACTACTGAGTTGACGGCTACGGTATCGTTAGAAAATGGATGAAGCCGGGGAACTTTTCACCTACTGTTTCACAAAGGTAAATATGAGGTTCACTTACGTCTTATTTCACATGGCTTGGTGACGCCGGTGAACCAGATTAACTTTCCCGGTTATTGAGCTTGGAGTAACGAGCTTACAAGCGAGTGGGTCTCAAGTGCTATGTCATGTTTACTGTTCATAACAAAGGAAACGGATGTCAGACGAGAAAAAATAGAATTCTAAAGGTGGGAAAGGTAAAAAAAACAAATTACGTCCAAAAATGTCTTCACTTAGTCATCGACTAAAAAAGGAATTTTTACCATCTGCCCATTTCTACCAGACCCTATATGCAGTCCCTATTTGGTGTTCACTCTATCGAAAGCTGCAACATGTTGTCTTGAACGTGTCAGTCAACCGCTGTCACATAATATCGACGAAAGAGACAGGGAGAAATTAACCTTTTAACGGATCTTTAATAAGTAACACGGAGAACGAGACGAATTACGAGCACCTTCTATAATAAGTGATCAATGGATCCGTCTTGCTTCGTCAGAATTAAGGTTCACCGACTGACTGACTGGACTAGGTTAAGTGAGTGCTGTTGTTAAAGTTTGATAAGAAAACCCAACATTCTGAAATTACAAAACGAAAATGAGAGCCCCATGATAGAAAGCAAAATAAACACTAAAAAAATCGCATGAAAAGAATGCAGATTTGTAAAAAAAAACATAATTGGCACGAGTTAAGAGCCTCTCTCAGAGACTGTGCTCTCTTTCGGCCATCCTATAAACATTTTAGGTGCCTTTTGCCTCAAGGTTCAACAGTTTTGAAAGGAAAATCTTCTTGAAGTTTCAAGGGCGGTTTTTTATTTTTTCGGGAGAGTGTGAAACCTCAGTTTTGTTGGCAGCGAAATGTCAACAAAAACAAGTTTAGTTAAACTTATTCGTGGAGTGTAATATGCAAGACTAGATAATGTGTGTCTGGACAGATTACGAATGACCTGTGAGAACCGAAAATCGTGTGGTTTATCAAGGATTCACTATTTATTAACGATGATCACAGCGAGATGCTGGAGGGTCTCCAAAACCCTGGTGTTCAAATAGCCTGTGGAGAAAACCTTGTCGATCTGGAATATGCAGACGACATCGTTCTCATGTTCGAAGAGGAGGAAAAGGCGCAAGTATTCTTGGATGAACTGACCAA